GGTCGGCCGCGCTTGAGCACCTACTCAAGGCTGGTTTTCAAGTAACCGTTTTTGGACGCTCCAAACATGAAGTTCCTCTGGGAGCAACTTTCGTCCAGGTTGATTATTCTCTCGATACCTTGTCGGAGGCCTTGAAAGGGCATGATGCGATCGTCAGTACCGTTGGGCCTGCAGCTGTTCTTACCCAAAAGACTATTATCGACGCTGCTATCATTGCTGGTGTTCGACGCTTCGTTCCGAGTGAGTTCAGCTCGGTCAACACTGACCCAAAGGCGAGGGACGTCCCCACGTTTCAGCTGTTCATCGAAGTCCAGGACTATCTCAAGGCAAAAGCAGAGGCAGGAGATATCGAATTCACCATCTTTGCTACTGGGCCTTTTCTTGAATATGTCTTCGGAAGCCCTTTATTCATCGATCTCGAACACCGTGCTGTTCAGTTACACGATAAGGGTGACGTCCGTATCAGTGCAACTAGCATCGCAGGAATTGGAAAGGCAATTGCTGGTGGGTTACAGAAACCGGACCAGACTAAGAACCGTGTGGTCCATGTTCATGAGACAGTTATTTCCCAGCTCAAGCTATTGGACCTAGCCAAGAAAGCCTTTCCGGAGGTTGAGTTGAATATCACGACTGTCAACTCCCTCGACGCATTGGATGCAGCTACAGTCAAATTTGTCCAGGATCCCACTGATCTCATTGCTGCTTTTCAGCTTATCAAGGCCGTTATGGTGAGTGGTAAATACTACACCGAATATCTGGAACTAGACAATGAGCTGGTTGGACTTCCTACCCTATCGGATGTGGATCTGGAGAAGGACTGGGTACCCCTCATGGCGAAGAAGAAGTGAACTATCATGGCCTCAACAATTCGCCAAAAAATTGTGCGAAGGCAGTATATAGTACACTTAGCAACGGAATTCAGACGAATATTAGTATGCGACCATACTCTTCCCATAAAAAGTCTGGAGGCGCTTGCTGTCCCGTTAGTTAGAACGCACAGGGGACTAGGGCCGGTTGGCCTTGATCATGGTCCTTGGCAGAGTGAAACCACTTCGTTAAGGACCAAAAAGTGGCCCGTTTTGATACATTTCTAGCCATTTTTCCGATTTATCTAACGAAGGGTGAATCATATCTTGAGCAGCTTGTCGCGATGGCGGTACTGGTATCAGTGTCGATCTGATAGGAGGTGTGCGTAGCTGCGGTTGTCGTTGTTGTTGTCGAAGACGTATGGGTTTTGGGCTTTCACTCTAGTCGAGCTCTGTCGGTAGCGATGCTTCGATGTCTTTTCCAATGGGAGCCGGCCCAAGAGCAGTCAAGTCCAAGGCGGTTGCATCGACCGCAACATGTATGCTGCTCATCACATTAACATTTTCCTTTGACAAACACTACAGCCCTTCTTTGATCTTCTCCGCTGCTCAACATGCGCGTTGGGTTGTGCGATTGGCGTATCGACAACAGCGATCGCATGTCAACCTCGTTTTCCTATGCCCGCTGTTTAAGGCAGACTTTGCAGCGATTGAAGCTTTCATGGACACAGTATTGCACTCATCCCGTACAATCTATTCTTGTTCCTTGATCTTGGACAGCATTCCCTCCCAGTCGTCGAGGCGGTTCATATTGCGACTCACCCAAGCAACAGGCGTGCTGTAAAACCATAGAACAGCCTTGGTCTGGAACTGGAGAATGTGCCGATAGAGGTCCATGATGTGACTGTTGAATTCATGTTTTGATACTCATCTAGATCACTAATTAATCTAAATAATCCACTTCTATTTATACAGACATTTATTACAATAGACTAGCTATTGTTTAGATTCTTTAGATACCTCAGTTATCAATAAGAAATCTAGATTTAAACGTGCTTAGATATATTAATATAATACCTTTAAACAAACTTCACCTTGATCACCCTTGGTTATAAACCTTACGATTAAAGATATCTACCTTCCCTGTAGCTAGATGTTATCCAACGATTATACCATTCTAGGTGAGGATAGAATAACCCTGTTAGACCTCAAACCCAAATGTATCGGATCGTAAAGAGCTTGGACATAAAGGACCGTACTCATTAATCTCATTAGTTATAGACAGATGTTCGGTAAGAAGTCGTGCTGCTGTAGTATCTGAGGTTTGAATATTCCCCATCAAGCACTGCGTCACACGTATTGGATGTGTGGTCGTTCTGAAAAACATCGTCGCAACCTGGAAAAGAAACAATACACCATTTAGTAGTCGCTCTAAGCTTTCAAATAGGGTCCTTACATTCTCTATTGAGTTCTTGCCAGCTGGATCTTCGTCCCGTTGCATGGTACTCTCAGCTACCACGACTAATCGAGAGATTGCTTTCTGAACTTGTTGAAGATCGCAAGATTCCTTTACTACCAGCTTCTCAATGAATTGGAAAAGTGACTGAAGCGCTCGAAAGTCCAGATAATTATCACAATGTGCTGGATCACGTATAATGCATAGATGGAGTGTTATAGCCGCTGCTACTTGATATTGTAAGGCTCGCCTATACTGTTAGGACACGGTTTGACAAATCAGGGGGAGACATACCATAGATCTGGGAAAGGCATTTCCATCAAACCCCGATTAAGAGCAATGGTAGCTCTTGCTGCCCTCCTCACTCTGAAAACTGATTTCTGGTAATAGTTCCGTGGTACTTCAGAGTCTCGGCGAAGCAGGGGCCAATAGATGGACGATATACAGTTATAGTACACAAGTTTGAGAAGTATAGCCACAGAATCGGAGGATGCGGGTGCTGTTCTACAGTCATCCCCTGAAAGAACAGTGGTCCCGAGCGTAGACTCCCAATCATCTAGGGTTGATTGATACTCTTCGGATAATGCAATCAGTTGAGGTACTGACTGTTGCCGTGAACCAAGACTGTAGAGGTTCTTGTGAATGCAAGTCTGTATTCCGGCCAATTTCACTCTGTCCCTGAAAATCTGTACATACCAATCTCCATTGTCGCAATCTAAAGGGTCCAGACGAGAAGAAGTAGCCATGCCAGGAAGTTTCAAGTTGAGTTCTGTCTCGGGCAATGAGGGGGGTATTCCTGTGCTCATGCATAGGTCGCTTTCGAGCACAACGGTAGCCCATACCAAATGGCGCCTGATCTGGTTTTCTTTAGGCTCTGGACCATCTAGCCATCGCCCATCATCGTGCAAGCCCATGATCTGGACTTGACGGGCAGTTTCAGCCAGTAAGGTACTTGTCATACGTGTGTCTGCAGATCCACGCATGAAAATTACCATTGCAAGTAGCGCTTGAACTCCCCACAAGTTACAACCACTGACCAATATTGGCACGTGCATACTGAAAGCATTCTTAAAAAAGCCCCATGGCCTAGAGTAGAGATTCTGGAAGGAATCGTTCGTGAGCTTAGACCGTTCCACGATAGCAATGGATAGGTTGAGTAAAGCCCACCAGGCTATGTTTCCAGTACAGTGGAGCGATTCAGGCTGTTGGAGCGTCCTAATGAATCTATTCAAATCCAAGAAAGGCAGTTCTTGACAGGCTTCCTCTATAAATGCTAGGACAAGCAGTCGCTCGGTTTCCTCTGGTATTATTGCTGATGTTATTCGACCGTACATGCCCATTGGTGCTTGAGCAAGAGACTTGAGGTTTTCTCTCCGCTCCACCATTGCGTGGTATTGCGGAAAAGCCCGCCCTTGTTGCTCGCGGATGGGAGGTAGCTCATGGATACTCAGTTGATTCGACGTGGCACTAATCTCATCAAACTCGGGAGACAAAGATGGTTTTGTACCACTATGCTGCGCGTGATTGAATACTCCGTCAGTTTCCATGTGATGCGTTGTAAGATCGATGTTTAGTCTGGCTTCTATCTGCTTGATTTGACCTTCGAGGTCTCGCATACGTTCCTTGCTGGAGTTTCGTTAATAGAAGCCGATAGCATACGGCGATGCTTTATTCTGCTTTACACACCTCTTACCAGGCCCGCGTCTTCGTATCCTGTCGGGATATGTACAAGCTGGTTCGCCTGCTGCAACACAGGATACACAGGCCTCTATCCCCCTCACTGGGCCACCACAGCGAATTCGTTTATTCTTGCAGCGGTCACATGCCTATGTCTAGATCAGCAAGTGACCGAATGTATTGGCTACTGTCATTTGTAACCTTGATGGTTTTTCTAATCCGATTCCGCTGTCCCTTTTCAGTGAGAGACGGGGCTGCGTGATTTGTGTCCATCAGGAGCAAATCTAGAATATGATGGTTAGCGCTTGTTTAAGCCCATTCTCCGAGTCAACGTGTTGGACAACTATCCTTGTCTATTCTACCTGGGGATCCGAAGGTGAGCAGAAAAAGGAACAGAGTGGTTTTCCAATTCCTTGCCTCTATGCGGACAAGATAATACTTCCAGGTTTTGTAACTAAAAGGAATAGCAAGGAGCTTTGATTTCTTCTACATACCATACGTATAATAGCAAATTAGATGGACTTGTGAAGGTTATATCGTATCAATTGAACAATTATAGTGTCAGGTTTCTGTGTATTTCGTGGTGGGGAAGTTTGGTCAAGATTAACTTCAGACATGGAATCAACGGCCTAACAAGGGGCTTCTCGGTCGCTGACTAAAACATTATTAATCAAGCATCTCGTTAGCGTGAGGACTCAAATTACTTCCGACGAGTGCAACAACCGTTCTGTTTTAGGAAAAGTTTCGGGTTCGGGCTCCTCGGACTAGTCCGCGATATGCATGGCATAGGTTCATCGGGGATCTCTGACAAAGCACAACAGTGAGGCCTACCGAAGACGTCTAACCCAGGCATGATGGTCAGTTGTCGGTACCAATCCATCGCCGGACGCTGGATCCTCCAGCGTCGACGAGCAATATTTATATAACCCTAACTCCGGTGTAAGTCCGTCATACTAACTTAGTAAAATATAAATAATGTTTGTGTTTCGATACATCGCATAAACTTCTTGACTTCTAGCAGAGCATTCAGCATCAGTGGCACCCAATACAATCTTGCTACAATGGCCAGTCTTCAGCTCCCCGGCAGGCTGCAACAGTCTTTGAACGATACAAAAGTAGAGTATCGCCAACTTGGCAAATCTGGACTTCGCATATCTGTACCTATCTTGGGCTGTATGGGCTTTGGCGACTCTCAGGCTATTCCATGGGCACTTGACGAAGACAAGGTATGTCTGACCTCATAGGCGCACAGTTTGCAACTCCTGATGGTTCATTCATAGGCGCTGCCGTTACTTAAGGCAGCCTATGATAGGGGGCTTAACACCTGGGATACAGCCAACTCTTATTCAAATGGTGCTTCCGAGCGTATCATTGGTAAAGCCTTACAACAGTTTAGTATCCCTCGTGCGAAGGTGGTGATTCTCACCAAGTGCAATTTTGCCGTGGGCGAAACCCCTGGTATGAACGATCCTCGTTTCAATCTGAATGTTCCTAACGGTCAAATTAGAGGAGCAGCAATTTGCGTTCTACTCCGAGTTTAACAGAAGTAAGGACTATCAAAACCAATTTGGCCTCTCGCGTACAGCAATTTTCAACCAGGTCGAAGCTTCATTGAAGCGACTAGGGACTACATACATTGACCTACTACAAATTCACCGCTATGATAATTCGGTACCTATCGAGGAAACTCTGAAAGCTCTTCACGATCTTGTTCAATCAGGCAAGGTCCGCTACATTGGCGCTAGTAGCATGTGGGCAACACAGTTCGCTAGGCTTCAGTTTTGCGCGGAACAAAACGGTTGGACGAAATTCGTTAGCATGCAGGACCAGTACAACTTACTCTATCGAGAGGAAGAGCGTGAGATGATTCGGTTCTGTAATGAAACAGGCGTGGGAGTTATTCCTTGGGCTCCTTTGTGCCGTGGCCATCTCGCCCGGCCCCCGTCTAGCTCCACGACGCGTGCCTCAACTGAGTCTGACCTCACGAGTGGGGGGCACGGTTCCTCTGAAGTCGATATCAAGATTATCGCACGGGTGGCAGAGCTTGCAAAAAAACACGAATGGCCGATGGCCCATATTGCACTTGCCTGGATCAACAAGAGGGTCACAAGCCCTATTATCGGGTGCAGCAGCTTAAAAAGACTCGATGAGGCTATTGAAAGCAATGGAAAATGTCTAAATAGCGACGAGGAGCAGTATCTCGAGGAACTATATCAGCCCAGACCTATCTGGGGACATATCTGAAGTAGATTATCAAGGGGTCGCGACTGGTTTCATACTAGATTGACGCCATCTGAAGGAGCCATGTTCAAGACAGCAAGAACCTTGCCAGGCGTGGTATCTAATTTTGCTTGTTCACGAGTGAACTAGTGGTGTTTCTTAAGATCTTCGTTTTTCCTTCTATTGTTTCATATGAATCTACAAAATTAAACTCTATCTCTATGACTTATTCACAACTATGCCGATCCATGTTGAGAATAGACAGTCTCTCAGCCTAACCAGAGGAGGATAAATTAGTTAGATCATCATAACCTAATTCAATCGCTTTTGATCATTATCATCACTTTCCATCCCGTCTCGTGGTCATAAAGCCTTTTTAACCTCTTGTTGGCTGCTTCGTGTTAGATTATGATGCAACTGATGAATTTGAGATATCTTCCCTATAGCAAAAACAGCGAGAATACGTGGGTGTTCGCTTTTCCGGCCTTGACTCGAGGAAAACTGGCCAACTCCGCGAGTGAAGGGTCGTAAGCCAGTGCACTAACGGCCAGGAGGCCCCTTATAAGGCGGCGCAGACTTGCCTGGCTTAACCCAGAGCGAATGGGGACTTGGTTGAGAAGATAACTGGCTGTATATTCTTTGCCCTTATAGTCGCCTTGAACCCCACGGTTGGTTCAGTCTTTTAAGGATGCCGGATGAACGGGCTAGTCTTGGATCGATATTAACAGCACCAAAAGGGAAATTTATATTACAAAGGGATTTCTAAGAGAAAACCATTGTCGTGATGTCAATAATACGTAAATAATGCGACAATGTAAACATCGTGATATTTGTAGCTTTTCCTAGCAATGTAATGACATGAGCAAGATTCACACCAACAAGATATTTTTCTTATCCTGAACAGGCAACATTGGCCATCTGCATTGCGATATAGCTAGTTCTCACCCTCCTCCATCTCCAAAGGACCACTTCCACCATAACCTGGCTCTCTTAAAGCCATTAAATGTAATCTTCGTTCACTCCGCACAAGCTTGGGATACCACAGACGGTAGAAAGGATCAAACATAATTCCCTCAATTATAATCTTAGGGCTTGGGCACGCAGTGAAGATAAGGGCAACGGCGTCGTAGATGGTTGGGTAGATATCGTCGCTCAGCAATTTAGTGAAGACATCATATGTTATCGGCCCCTCAGTGTTTCGCATTCCAACCTGAGCTGTCTCTAAAAGTTCACCAAGGCGCTGATTCGCCCAAGAAAACTCGTCAAACTTGTTCGTATGCTGAACAACCGCAAGCGATATGCCAAGGAGTGGAGTGAGAGTCTCCAGCGGAATAGTAAGGCTTGTCAATGGGGAAGGAGCTCGAGGTGAACAGAGCCGATCAGCAATTGGGACCAGCTTAACACGACTGATCCTAGGAGTGTAAATGTGTATAATCGGTTCAATCGTGTTAAGAATATCAAGTACGTCGCGCTGCAGTGTGTAGCGGGGCGAGAGAGCAATGGAGTTGCCAGTATCAATTGGATCTAAAGGCTGAATGTCTGTCGCCAATCCCCGAAAGAGGTATTCCAAAACTGGCAAATCCGTCTCACCTACCCTCTCTTTCCTGCGATTGAAAAGGTGATCCTCTGGGTTCCAGGGTTGGAAGATTTTGCTATGCCTGCCGCAGAGAAAAGCAATCGCACGGACCCAGGCTGTGAATGTCAGGCTGGTTGGTCTTGATGCAGGTAAGGCTGCGGCGAAGGGCCACTCGGCGAAGTAGGTGATCAACATCCAGAGAGAAGAAGTAGCTTGTTTCAAGAGCTCTTGGGTGGTTGTATCTTGAGGCATCCGGCCTGAAAGACACGACTCTAGGGACTGTCTATCCCAAGCTTCATAGGATTCATTGTGAGCAATATAGATCTGCAGTAGAAAAGGAAGGGAGACCTTACATTTATCTGATTTAGCGTGTGTAGCAAATATTTCTTTTAATATTTCGACCTCCTCTGAGCAGAAAATACACCCATTATTGAGAATATTTTCACTCAGGTCAGTAAGAATTGATTCTAAAACATTAGTTCATCTTATTAGTTTACTTATTACTCGGGATTTTGGGGTTTCCAATATCGCTACTAACCACGGGTGCATGTTTTCAACAATTTCTCGCGCTTCGCTTCCAATAACGGGCCAACACTGTAGTAAAATGGCCCCCAACCATGCAGGTGAAATGCCTCACCGACCCAACCCAAGGCTTTCCCAATGACAGGCATAACTTTGTGTATTGGGGGTGTTGATCGATGACAACGTCGATGATGCGTTCGTAACTCGGGCTTCCCACAGGGCAATATATCATGAGCGTTGGTAGGTAGATATGAAAAGAACTGAACCGAAGAATGTACAGGAAGAGGTGAAGCGAGATGAATGTGCGTCTGTCTACAACCCTGTGCTGGTGGGTATCTAGGCAGCCGTCAACCTCACCTCATGTCGCTTACGTGTCTCGCGTGATTTCAGCTGTTGTTGGTCTGCTGGTGTTGCATTGATTAGCGACTGATTGTTGTCTCATTATTAAGTGCGGTATGTACATGCTTGATGTGTGTCGGCGGAAGTTATGACCAGTCTCTAATACAGAGATTCGAAATCCACAAGCATGTTCCTTTGATGTTTGTTTAATGCTGGATTTGACCCAAACATGGAAACCTCAACAGCCGTTTCAATCTCAAGATCTGTGCTGAAATCCAGAGTCTCTGGCTGTGCTTCAAAGGGATGGAGGCTGCCTGGCCTTCGTCTTGAGCCAGCAAAATGACCGTGGACAAGACACGGTAGATGGCCATGGCACCCGAGGAAGCGATTTGACGTTCATGCTGGGGAATTGACTCAGGGAACGACTCATGTGTCACGTGCTTTGAAGATGGCACCCAAGTCTGTGGAAACTTAATCGTGGGGCCGTCCATGGGCCTTGTTGGCTCCATCATATCTCCAATATGGTATGGAACGCTTGCACAGATCTCGGCCACAATGTTCTGTACTCGTAATACTATGCTGTATGCGGGTTGAGAGCCAATGTTTTCCCAGCATTGGCACAGAAGTAGAAGAACATGGAGCTCGATGAGGCGATGCCAGTTCCGCGTCGCTGCAACCGAGAAATTGATGTACACATCACACGATCCGTCATATAATCCTGCCGCTTGGATTGTCTCGGCAATTGCATCGCCATTCAACTTCACTGGGTGCCAATAGTCTGGGAGACTGTTAATCCATCGTGTGCAGTCAGCCGCGAGTGCAGCAGCCTGGGTTAGAAAAGAAAGGCGTCTTTCGTCTTCTGCTCCGCCAACGACTGCTACGCTCGTTTTACTCTCTGATCGCATTGAATTTGACAACTTGGAGACCTGAAAGGCCAGCCTATCCACCTCGAGTGCTGGGCTGGCCGGCATCAGCTCTCCAGCTTGTTGGAACAAGATGGGCAATTCCGGAATTTTCCGACGGTTTAATATCGCATCAGCTGCTATTTTATTTCGCGCTGCGAGCATTATGCGCCGAGACACATCATCTCGATAGTTCAGCTCGCCCCTATGTGTTAATAGCGCCGTGGAGCCTGAGAGATGCACACTTGCTCTTGGTCCGTGTTGATAATTCGCATTAATTTCATCGTAAACTTCCAAAATCAATGTAGCCATGAGTAGCTCATTGGATTTGTTCTTGGTTGGGTCCTTGATGGCCTCCTTTACGCACGTGACAGCCTCGGCGTAGCGGCGACGTGCGGGCACTGGATTGACATCGTGTTGACCCCAGAGCCCGGCGATTTTAATGGCAAGTGCACATGTAGCAAGGAATAGAGGAGAACGTTGGGTGCATCCAGCATACAGGTCCCGGATAATGGCGAATAGTGAGCATGTGCCATCTTTGCCGCCGTTGGAGCCGTATGCTTGGAAGAAAAAGCTCAGCGAAAGATATTCGGAATCTAACGGTGGTGACAAGATTTCAGAGGGAGAAAGGATCAACGATGATGTCGAATCTGGTTGGTCCTTGAGGGAAGCCTTGGCAGTATCGCTGCGTTCCGGCCTAAGTGTGTTGATACAGCCAGAATGTCCACCATTACGCCCAACGACTTTGCGTGTTTCGCTTCGGTGCCGTCTCTCAAAGACATCTTTATACCCAGGACACTGAACCCTTAACTTGAGGCAATTGCCACAGCCTGGAGTCTTTTCGTCACACTATTAAATATGAGTTCTAGGTCTAATACTTTCGGTCAACATGACATGAGAATTACCTTGACGCGACGTCTTCGACAGGTCGAGCAGCCGCTGCTAGGCCCTCGATACACCATGCTAAATGTTCTTGGATGTGGTGGCTTGTTGTGGTGTTATTCGGCTGCGTTGGTGTCAAACGAAGGAATTCAATTAGAACTTCGACTCCTTGTGGCTCCAGTGATAACCGATATTTTCAATTATGTAATTTGATCAGTGGCACCGCCGTCGCAAGGATGGGCCTATTACGGTTTAGAGCGAGCTGGGCATGGTCTCAATGCGACACGACCAGCCCCTGAAGCATGGATCCAGGGTTTGTTTGGGTTAGCACCTTGCTCGCAAGCCTATACCGCATATCGCCGTCAGCATCATTCAGCCTCCCAGCCAGCTACCACCAGGGTTGCTATATCGCAAGGGCATACTGAGAACTGGGCATTCTTGCGAACTCCCGCAATCTTGATACTGCGCCGGAAGTCCATCTTATTTGCGTATCGCAACACCTACTACATTGGCAACTACCTGTTCCGGCGTATAGTCTGCAAGAATAACCTATTACCCCCAAGGAGACCAAAGCGACGACTATAAGAGGCCAGGCATTCTCACTGATTTGTGTTCAATGTCCAAACACATCCATTTAATTCAATCAAACTACTATATTCCTGCTTCTACTTTTATTGAAACCGAACTTCACTATGCGCTATTACCAGCTCCTTAGTCTTGCAGCCGTGGCATATGGCGCGACTTGTGTCAATTACCCGGCCATTGATGGCGACATAGTCCACGGCGACGTTGAGCTGATCGACGATCCTCTCCGGAATTTCGACTCTATGATGATCCCAGTCTACAACGACTCGGCCATTGAAGACTGGTCTCATGATGCCGTTTCGGCAGATGGCTTGACTGGTCTGGCTTTCACCTCCAGCCGTGGGTCGATCGGAGGAATTCCTGGAGCACAGCGTGTTTTCCTCTCCGTGGTGTGGCCGAATGGTACCCGATATATGGAAAACGCTTTCACTGAAGAGTCAAACATTGAATCCTGCCCAGACAAGACAATCGCACGCTGGTTCAACACTACCGCCGACTTGGAATGGAAGTTCGACTACACGACCAACTTCAAGCATACACTGGTCACGATTAAGTCACCCACGGTTACCGGCACAATTAAAATGAAGTCACTCGTTCCGCCTCTGTACCCGAACGGTTTAGAGTTCCCCAACTCTAATGGGAACACACTCTTTGCACCATTGCTATACTGGGTGGAGAGTGTTCCCGCTGGAACTGTTGAGGCTAATTTGACCATTCTTGATACACCCTTTACGCTGAAGGGTTTTGGCGGCCGAGAGCGGAACTGGCTGCCTTTATCTTGGGCAGACACCAGCGCCAGTTGGGATATGATGCGAGGCGTTGTTGGACCCTACAGATACATCGGGTGGGTACACCAATCCAAGATCAACGGTACTCAGTACAGTATGGTTCTGCTGGAGGGGGAAAAGGTTGTCTTCCGGACACAAAGTCTCACGCCATCCGACAAAGAATCGTGGGGAACAATAACCAAAACATACAACGGCACTGTCCATCTGGCTTCATCTCCAAATGACACTGTTAAGCTCCCGGAATCTACATTCAGTGGCTATACCATCGAAATGGTTTCCCCCCTCACGGGAAAACATTGGAAATTCAATGTCGCATTCACTCAAACTGTGTATTGGTTTCGAGCAGGCCGTTCCGCCCTAATTGGCGGGTTCACTGCCAATGCTAAGGGCGGTCTCGTTGGTGGGTGCCAGTATTCAGGCCTGAGCTCTGGCAACGCTCAGGAAACCATTACACTATAAGGCTTTGAGATTGGAAAGAATTTACAGCAAGATCTCAACAGGCTTAACTCGATGAAATTGACTGCACAATAGGTATAGGGTGAGATGCGTGTCGATGGGTGTCCTCTAGAACTCAGTGGTTGTTAGTTAGGTATTACAATCTATGTGGCAATAGAATCATTCTTGAAATATGTTTGGCCTTACTCTCTCTTATTTTAAGCTATGAATTATTCCCATTGGTAATAAATATAATGATGTGAATAGCCCAAATACCCAAAGTGATGTCAATGTTTGACCACTCTACCCAACTAAGATAAGAAAACCCACCAACCCAGCAAAATTATCCACATTATGTGAAGAAAGATGTATGACATTGATATGTGTAAGATATTCAAACACTAGGTCGATAAAGGGTTGGACCTAGGGCATTAGACGAGACATGTAAGTGAACCATAATCTGGACCGTGGATGAGCGAGCGAAGTGTATAGCATCCAGATTGATTTAGGTGCTGTAGCTGGATAAAGTTCAAGAGCTAATGATATTGCAAGTTAGTCCATAGCTCTAATATGCAGCGTCTTCCAGTTATTGTTCGAGAGCATTGGGTAGATGAAGAAGCACATCGCATCGAGCGACAGAGGAGGCATTCTCGCTAGAGCCGCTATCCACAAGAAGGCTGCGAGCCTAGTGAAAACGAAGTAAAGACGGGAACTAATGGTAGCCACTGTGCTGGGGGGTTAGGCAAGTCATGTTGATAGGCTAAAGTGGTATTACATTGCCGAAGCCCTTGATACTCTAAAATTTCACGTCTACTTTTGCCATCGGCTCTACCAAAAGCAACTAATCAAACAATAAGAATCTATAAATAACAGTTGGGACTATGGGCTTGATAAAAGTGATGCAGCATCCTCTAATAAGCCTAGTATAGTAGTGGTATATAGCGATGCACGATGTTAAGTATGAATGATAGGAGAGACCAGCCTCTAGACTTTTAAATATATATACCGATGATACCTAAAAGACTACAAGATCTAATCCCTTTGTAAAATAAACGGAGTACCACTGACTTACTCATTCCAAAAGCGGCAATATCATCATATAACGTGTCGTCACCAGACATGTTTGCCCCAACACTCATGCCATCAGAAAAAGCCTTCAACCACGGTTCTAAGCCCACTTTAAAGATTTTAGTTTCCCTGAGGCATAGCGACCTTGACGCTATGTCCAGACCTTGAAACGTCCACCTAAGACTTGCCTGGGGAGGCAGAGACCTTACGACGGCGTTGATTCCAGTTCCAGAGAGGTTCAAATCCTCGATTTCATCACCGTAAACCATGAGATACTTGCTGTATCGCTCAAGAACATGCTTGAACTTTGTCTCATAACTACAGCCTCCCTCGCGCACTAGAGTGAAGTGGCGGCTCAGATCAATGATTTATTGGTGGAAGGGCTAGTAGCCGTCATCCTTAGCTAGGAGAATATAATTTAGGGGCAAGGACGTGGTATTCAATGCTAGCGTCTCACTTTTATGGCGCTTGCCGGTGGTGTAGTTGAAATCTACCTGTTTGTTAGAGTCAGTGCGATATTTGGCGGCAGCAGTGGCTCTAGTATCAAGGGGGGGAACCGCTCCAAGCTTCAACAATGAACGTTAATAGGTGCGGAACTTAAGGAGAAGAGTGAAGAAGATGATCAGTTACATCCTTGGGCTCCACAGCCGGGATGGCTGACACTGCGGCAACAGAGGCGAGGAGCGATAGCAAAACGGATGAAAGGGGTATTATTATGTTACGAGCAATATTGTAGAGTTCGATGCTCTAAACGTTGTGAAGCAATGAAGTGTGGAAGTGGCGATCTAATGATGATCGGCGTGATGAGAACGAAGCATGTAAAGTATGGGTCTTTTATATATAGGTACCTACCTACAGATATGCAAGTATGTAATAAACCAATCATCTCCGATTACATCGACAGAAGGTGATACTATTTTAATTATTAATCAAATACTAAGCAGTCCCACCCATCAAACATGCCGGAGATGAGCAACAAGGTGCGGACTGGCTACTCATCGGAGACTTTTGCAATGACGAAAATGGTTAGACTCGGAGTCTTGGAGACTTTTCGAAAATACGTCGAGCAAGTCAACATATGATTGGACCGTGTTCATCTAGTTTCATGATATCGGAAAGATGATTTGTTAAGGCAATGTAGAAATAGAGTCGTGGGTCTAAGGTTTCCATGCAAAGAGGTGAAACCCATTATATATAGCGTACTATAAGTATCAAAAGATGTAACCTGGGACAGAGAATAATTACACCCTCACCTTCCAAACAAGCCTCATCTATCATCATCATCACCACATTGAGTTGTCGTTGTCGTCGTCGTCATCGAGATTGGATTCCTAAATCATAAACCCTAATATCCTCCATCATGATTGCGAGGCCCTGGCTTCTTTATGTGTATCCATGGATGCCCTTTCCTCGGCGAGTCACCATTTACCTCCGCGAAAAAGGCATTGGCCCATCTCTTGTGACCGTGGTCCCAGTCTCTGACCCTCAACTTGGCGACGAGGCCCCAAAATCATTTCCTCCGCGTCCGGCAGGAAGTCTCCCCATCCTGGCAATCCCAGATTCGAAGTCTCCGGGCTCAGGCTCGTACACCTACGTTCGACAGTCCATTGCCATCATGAACTACCTCGACGAGCTCTGTGATGCTGGAGAGCAGGGGTTCCCAAAGTCTCAATACTTGATGCGCGGCAAAGATGGGCTCAGCCGGGCCAGAGTAACCGGGCTCATGTGCTTGGCTGATGAATTGACAATTTCTTGGAACCCCGTGAGGACGTTCGGTACAGGAGCCGGAACCATGGCGCTCCCCGAAGCCTCCAAGGAAATGATACGCTGGCTTCATCGCACTTTGGCTACCATCGAAACCTCGTTTGAAGATCGCGACTTCTCCGGTCTTCGCGAGGGCGGGCAGCAAGGCCCGAGCATGGCCGAAATTATACTCTACCAGTTTCTAGAATTTACCAAAGATTGTTACGGCAAGGATATGACAAAGGGGCCTAGAAAAGTGGAACTTGATGTATACGGGAGGAAAGAAACTCCTACAGAGTATCCTAAGCTGTCCGAGTTTTACGATGCCTTCAAGACTAGAAAAAGCGCTGTTAGAGATGCGTCTGCCGGAGAGGTTGCGGGAGAGCAAGCTCTGAAAGCTATGCAGGCTTGGTTGTGGAACTGAATGCGTGGACTAGTCTAGCGAGGCCAGGACTGAACTCGTATGGTCATCTTTGAACTTACCCAGTGGGTTTTAATCTGGCCTTTGATAGGTGGTGGGTAAACAGCTATCAAGTCGCACGTCGTTTCAGACAGTTTCTTGGACTTGGTTTATTATATGTATTAACGGTACTTATGCGGGAGAGAGTTTGAGTATAAAGTTAAACAACTATAGAAGATGCCAGACCCGATATCTCAACACAATGAATACTAAAGCTTAGAAAAAGCCTTTATTAGCCTAAGGGTGCAGTTGTGTGGAAGGAAAAGTCTATAAACTTTCATACCGATGACTCACTTGCCGCCAGGTCGAGGCGCTCGCCGAATAACTATGTAAACTACCCTCTTTCACGCTTCCTTCATACACTCGTACACCAATACAAACACTTCAACCAAGTTCGAGGTTTTTCAGCCTGCAAGAATACCAACCGACCCAGTGAGTACCAGTAGCCCCTTGAGCAGAGCACTTACAATGACACATCCGCAGCCTTCAACACACACATCATCTAGCGTACATACAGTTATCCCTTCTACCACCTTGACTTCTACCCCTCCCTTTCATGCAGATCGTTCCCTTCTTCTTCTTATCAGTAGTATGCTTCACTCTCTCCCCTTCTCTCTGCTTTTTCTATCTAGCCCTGACCTTACCCTGCTGGTAAGTTCTGCCTCCCAATTTTGATCCAGATAATATTAGTTATATTCAGGCCCGTGATAATACGTTCGACGTTGGGTTGAGCGATCAACATCAGGCCCACCAGTTCATGAGGTATGCCCCCACCAAGAAACTGGTTCAAGGAAGGCTGTCAAGAGAGCTATTCTTCGTAGGAGGGCTGCTTATTACATCGCGTTGGAAATGCAAGGCAAGAACGACAATAAGAAGATTGGCAAGAGCAAGATCGGCAAGCCCACGTCAAGGGCACCGACTTATCGCAATCCCTGACAAGGACTTGAAGTTTGCGAACAAAAATGACCAGGTTTCCGAGGTTGTACTAACGGAGGGGGACTTTCAGTATATATGTTCAGTCGGTTACGTCGCTTCCTTACTACCTCCAGCAATGATTGTATTTTCAATAATTCATATAAATTTACAACCAACTAGAGTACATGATGTTCGCCTTTTCCACTTCAAGAGCGTCCAACCGCTGTAAAGAGGAACCAGAATATATCGCCTACAGTTAGATAATAGAGACTCCGATTGATTCAGCATGAGTTGGTTGATCAAGTCATCTAACTTCTATCATACTATAAACCATTGTGATCATGGCCGCTAACTACCACTGGAAACTCTCCTCAAAAAATTCGATATAGGGCGAAGAATGCACCATCCTGGCTGCTACTGCATATCTACTCTCGTCGGCCATCCTGGCCGGGCCGCTTGTGACGACCGCAAGGCTCCCTTCCCCTCCGGTATTAAGGGCACCCTCTATAACATCTTCAACATTTAACCGCCTAAACTTCCACTCTGCAAGGCGGCATATGCCCTCATCTTCAGTTCTTCTGCTATCAACACCAGTCACATAGATATTGATGTTGACTTGCTCGCTGTTGAATGAACCATTGAGCTCATGACTAAGTACATCAACTGCCAGAGCACACTGACGTACTGCCCAGTGGATATGAATCAGTTTTGGCCGGATCGGAGACATTGTAAGCCTGTCAAGATAGGAGAGTGGGACAGCAATTCCACTGCCTCCAACTATAAAAAGCACCTTGCAGAACTGTTGCAAGTGTAGAGGCTTCCCATAAGGACCGTCAATAGCCACTCGTATTGTAGCTGGCTTTGGCCGCTGGGTCTCCGCATACTCTTTCAAACGCAAAGTGAAACTATCATAAGGGCGGATCAAAAACCCCATTTCTTGTTTGGACTTTCCCGGGCAGCATCTCACTTCTTCAGAGGCATTTGATGAGTAGTTCAACAAAGGCGAGTGCTCGTTCAGGGATCCTGCTTCGCACGGAGCAGTCCTTGACACCGATGCCACGGTGAATGGATGGCTCTCCCAAAAGTTCCACTTGTTGAGCACCATGAGATAGTAAAATGACCCAGGCTCGATGTTGTATAAACTGGATGACGCCGGGACAGCCATGCGAATCATATGTGCGTCCTCGTTGTAGGTGATCTGGGCCTTTACGTTCCAGAACTGCGGGCTAAAGGCGACGATCCGCACGCCGCGTACAGCGCGGTCTAGTACCCATATCATGGCCGGAACCCACACGAGAGCATCATAATCGCCTTTGAATATTGACACATGCCTTGGCAGTAGTTAGCTCTAAAGCCAATTATTCTCTTGCACCATACGACTTACCCCAGCATGGTTATAAGAACCAAGATCGACAAGACTATGTGAAGTACGAGGAAGACCTCGTATTGCCTACGCCGAAGCCAATAGACTGATAGGCCGACAAGAGAACACATGAAAATTGTTGCCTATCAAAGAGTCAGTTACGGAATCTGGTAGACGACTAGATAACCCACCAGCTCGCCAGCCCACCAGTACGTCATATTGCACATACGCCAGAAGTAATCCCAACCACCTCCTACAAAAGGTCAAACACAGCTCGTTCAACGGCACATATGGGATCTTACTCTCTAGAATGAGGGCCGTGTATCCCACTGAGTGGATGATTGCTTGCAGGGCGGCAAGCCGACCTACCCAGCGGTGAAAGTTGTTGTATGTTTTGAAATCCCAGCCTGTCAGCCAGATGACCACATTATTTCTCATTCCAAAAAGCCATATGAGGGGAAAGTTGGCAAACGAAATAATGCCCGTTCTATCAGAGACGTGGCGGAGGATTTGCATTCCTACAGTCGGATAACTTGCGTGTATGTTTTAGTAAAGAATCAAAATAACAGAACCACAACACTTGGCGGACTCACTAGCCGTAACCCTCAAAGAACCTGTACCCATGCACGACGCATACTATGTTGATGAGCACAAACAACGTTAGAGTTAATGTCTGCGCACGTGGAGGCAAAGTACCCCAGCCTCCAAAGTCCTGGACGCAGCGCCGGCCAAAAGTGGCTGGCGCCAGAATATTACGCTTGAACCAAACGTCTCTTCGTTGCTGAGGACTAAACGCTCGAGGTTTACAAGTCACCCATTTTTTGAGCGCTCGGTTTACAACTCCGACTGCAGCAACCACTGCCCAGAACATTCCCATTGCCCAACCGTAATAATAATGGTTATCCCATATGTAATCATGTGCATCCTATTGTGCACAATAGTGAGCTTTCTAACTTAAAGACGAGAGTTTGTAGTTCGATAGGAGGACTGACCAGCGTACGGCCCCAAAGATCGTGAAAGTCTTGTGATGGCAACATCAACTGGTCAAAGGGATATATACGGTCCGGGCTTGTTGCGTTGAATCTGGCAATCTGAACCACATCTTCATCTGTAAATCCAGCAATGATATCATGCGGTGGAAAATGCGAACCGTCGATCTCTTGACATGTTTGATTTATTCTTCTTGACTCCGAGATCCAGACATTTTTGGGGCAGTAAATCTCCCAGCAGAGATAGACTGATTGCTGATATAAACGGCTGGTACACTCTTGTACTGCGAAAAAGACTCCATCAGGAGCATCCGAGAATCGCAGTGTCCGGAATGTTTGTCGGCAAGCTTTCCCGCACACCTTGCCGCCAACTACCGATGCTGCTGCAAGAGCAGAGCTAAAGAAGATTGTAGCGAGACAATGTGCTTTGCTACTCAACCGCCAATAGCGCATTTTCTTTGGTTGAACTGGATCCTGTCCGAGCTCAAGTGTCTGGTATAAGTCTGGCAAGTGAGGGATAAGCGTACATGCAGCCAGCATGAGGCACAATGCGGTAGGATTAGGTATCAGGGGTAAGCGAGAATCGAAGTTATCAGATGATCAGATAATTTTGGCTTGTGGGTCGAAGATATCACGTGCGGGTCCATCAACCGGAGATGTCTGCTTCTGTCATTAGACCATTTTTTAGCATCTCAAGCAGTACCCTGTCCTGTTGCCACTGGTTGGATCAGTTTGTCGATTTGTGGTGGTGTTCAAGCACGCATGCCTGAGTGTCACTACAACTCACGTGCACATGTTCGACCTGATCCTCGACTTGGATAAACAACAAAGTTCGGCAGGTCTACTCGCCTCACAGAGTCTCAAATAGTTACAATAAACCTAATTTATGCCTGGCGGATGAAGGAGCAATATTTACATTGCAGCAATCTCAACCATACCTCAGGCGCCAGACGATTGATCATGTACGGACAACAACAAACTAGAAAACCCAAATTGCTCAAAATAATTCCGGTAATCATCCTATCCTCATAAGGTCCATACTTTTCTATCATTCACTTGTGGTACAAAGCAAGCACCTTCTGCCAGAATGTTGCAGGCCTTGGCTGAGCCGCGGCGCCTTCACTCCCCTCGCGCTTGTCCGGTATGTCGACAACCTCGCCATCGAGACCCTTGTTATTGGCGGCGTTCTGCTGCTTGCCGAGGTAGTAGTTGGGCATGAATATGGAGGCAATCAGAGGCACTACGGATAAGCAGATAGAAGCGACGGTGATGTGCCCGTTGACAATAGCGTAGGCGCGGATGGAGCCCTGGCGGATGCTATCGTTGAACGCATAAGTCTTGAGCGTCTTAATGTTGCCATAGATCTTCTTGATGACACTGGGAGAAACTCCGGGCAGCTCCACGTTCATTTGGTCCATCATCTGCTCCGTCCAGATGCTACTCGCGACGGCACTACCAATACTGGATCCCAAGGTAGACCACAAGGTGATGATGGAGATGATTGAGGCCACATCGTCATGGGGGACAGAGGCCTGGACACCAACACGAGCGCCAACTACATTGAGAGACGAGAGACAGAAGATGAGTTGTGCCGCCACTAAACGTGCGGTATCCTGCGTCATGTCGCCGCTCGGTTGGATCAGCAGGCCGTAACCCAGAATCTTGGCCGCAGCGCCGAAAATCATGAGGCTCTTGTACCGATGAGAAACACGGTGAATCAGGCCCACGATAGGGCCGACTAAGCAGAGACCCATGGTGGTGATTCCCAGGAAGATGACCCACTGGTAGTTAGTCCAATCCTTGATGATGAGGATGTAGGATGAAAAATAAGTGTTACGGACGGATGAGGCCATTTGGTTGAAGGTATGGATAATGACTCCAGCAATAAAAGCACGATTCTTCAAAATTCGCTTCGTCATCAGAGGCTTAGGGGCAAGGAAGACTTCAAACAAGATGAAGATGATAAGGATGACAAAGCCGACGACAATCATCGCAATCATACTCGGGTTGTCCCATCCACCTTTGGCGCTCTTAGCCAGGGTTATCGGCAAGAGGATGAGGGAGAAGGCAAAGCCAAGGAGGATAAGACCGAAAATATCAATATCAATCAAAGCTCGGTAACCGAGCTTGGCCCAGTACACAAAGTTCTTAGGCGTGGACTCGGAAACACCTACGCGGACGTCTCTAGAGTCGGCAATGGTGACCATGCCCGCCTTCTCGCCGCGGCGCTGCATCACGTAGAGCGTAGAGATAGCAGGAATAAGAAGAGCAGGCACCAGAATGGCAAACATACCCAGGCCCCATCGCCAATTTTCATAAAAGCCATCACCGATAAAACCATTGATAGGCACCGTCACGATAAACGGGAGGGATAGGCAGGCGCCAAAGAAACCGCGCCATTCCAGAGGGGTCAAGTCGGCAACAATAATATCGCTAAGAAGATCGAGACCTGATTTGCCAACTGACGTGAAGCAGATGCCGATGGTATAGGATGTGAAGTTGTAGGCACTCGCTGCAACTGCAAAGCCTACGGTGTAAAAAACAAGAATCACAACATATGTAGTCGGTCGGGAGGTGATATCAGCCAGCTTTCCAATAAAAGGCTTGCTGATGGCGCGGATGATTTGACTAGCGGTATTTACGGTGCCTAGCTGGCTGTGTACACCGAAAGTCGAGGTAGCCAAGGTGCCAAAGATGGTGGTGGTAATGCCCATGTCGAGGGCATAGGCAAACATGGTGAGCCCGACGGAAACACCAAGCAGCCAGAGCAGGATCTTGCCTTTTTTGCCAGACTGGTAGAGTACTTTGTTGAAGGCCTCGACCTTGCTCACACCGGCTTCCCGGTGGCTATCGTCATCGCGCGTAGGGTTGTCGTGCTTCTCGTCCGGTTCAAAAAACTGCGTGGACGTGTTTTTCTGGCCGGGATCCGCCTGGGGCTGGGAGCCATGAGGCTGTTTGTTGCCAACAGGCGTCGACATGCTGTGGCAATATGCTTGCGTATCGAAAATCCAAGATGAAAGGCCGGTTGACCCAAGAAAAAAAAAAAGAAAAAAGACGGGGAGAAAGCGAGACAATTATCCAAATTCTGGCGATCGGGCGGCTTTACCTAATGCACATAAATGGTTAATGGTTACCCCTGCTGTTGTGCTCAACTGCTCCGGAGTCGGGGACAGGAACGGTGCTGACAACCCCCAGACTACGAATGGATGACACTGGAAACCCATCTAAAATTTCTTCTTTCAAGAGGCCATTTCCCTCTCTACCTCCAGTAAGCCAAGACAGCCGGGATATGGCCATCTAATCAGATGGTGCTACATCGGGCAGGGATCATCCCGAGAGTGGAACGAGGTTGCTGATACCTTCCCTTCTCAAACACTTGATGTGTCTGTTTAGGTAATAGCGTCAAGCGACTCCAGCCGGACAATAATCGTTTGAGCAAGCACCCCAGTAGCCAGGCGCAATATCCCACCAACGCACCCTCTCCCACTTCGGACCACCTGGGCCAAGAAGGGTTATGGCCGAGAAACTCGAGCAAAATGGGAGAATTTTCCGTCTATTAGCTACTTGTCATGTGGCAAACATTGGACCGCATCGGGTGGTTCTTGGTATTGGGTTGTTCAATTTGATAACTACATAGTTTCACGCTAGGTCTATCCAAGCCCAGCACGAAATCAAGACAGTGAGTAATACAGTCTAGATGGGCCTGGTACTACTAGCAATAATCCCGCAGAACATTCCCGGGCCTCTTCCGAACATGGCGTTACCGAGCGAGCGTACCCAAATTTTTTGATGCATTAGGCTCTATATCTTGTCGCTCTCCCTTTACGCCTCAAGATACTGGGCTCTTGCACAAGCATGCAAGCAGATCCTTACTGTAATTCTAGGCCAAATTGTCAAGAGTGCAGTCAATAATAATGGCAGCCTCAAAGCCAGTCTTTTTCTTGGCATTAAGCCCAATCTCGAGGCCGAGGTTCACCTCACTAACCGTTTCAAGGGTGATGCCGATGCTGGTCTTTACTTGATTCTATCTTGTGGAGAGTGAAGGCGGTGGTGTGGAAGTGTCTAAGCATTTCTAGAATATCATAAACTCGAAAGAGACCTGAATGTCTTTTAGGCAGGTCTAATTTGTGAAGCTTACTGTTTATAAGTTTGCGTTAATTTTTTGACTGCAATCTTTCGAGGCATGCATGTCTTTTTAAATGGTTAGTTGGATCCTGTATCTATTTGATGCTATGTTTCCTATCACCGTTATGCAGCCCTATTGAGACCTCCGGCTCACGAATACAAGCTTATGACTTCTACCTTCACAAATGCAAACACAAATTCAAGTAATTCGGTTTGATCCAAAACGAGCGGTTTCGATTTGAGCACGTCTTCACGAGCACGAGTAATTCCTGAAAATGACCATCAATATTAAAGAGAGAACGTATACTTAATAGCAATCTTGGGTCGCTGAAGAATTTTGGCATCACAAGGGCGCAGAATGTGAGAAATCCAAAGAAAATATCGGCGAACGTCGCCAGCACTAGGATTGCAGATGTGGTGATCAAATTATCCAGGGTTACGATCCAGTGGAATGATATAACCGTATATCTAGAATCAAGAGCTATTCAATTTCAATCGTATTATTATTAATTATTAGATGATATTTTGTAAGCTTCACGGGGGAAATTATCACTATGATCCAAATGAAATGCGACCCGAATACCGCTCGACTTGTTTTAATATCGTTTTCTTCATCAGGGTACATGCGTAAAGGCTATCTTAATTGTATGGATGAATAATTTGATCACGGTAAACAATCGCATCACTAGGCAGCTCAACATAGAACAAAACAATGTCCCCCACACATATCAGTTGTGGGCTTTTTTCCGGTTTTTCCGAATTCGCTTAGGCATCGACATTTCATCTGGACCCCGGATCTGAAGAAAAGCTCTTCGCAAGGTCTTCGGCGCTGGTTTGCTGAAAAGGGAAATTCGGCGCCGAGTGGAGACCTGAGATGTTAACCACATCCGACCTCAAGGCTGTTAGGGTTTAGTCGTATGATCAATCAAGATGGCTTTACTCGAATCGACCGTCCTCAAATGGCAATGGGCCCAATTAGCTTCTATCGTTGAGTTTGCTAATTTACGGTGTGCTGACGCTTTGTCATTTGCGGCATGGAGTGTCCGTATCAGAGGTGGCCTTTCTTTACTTATACTCAGCGACTTGCTTTGAATGATTCCATCGCCATTTCTGCATGCCAAAAGGCTTCTAAAAACCCGCCGCCTGCCGCGAAATTTCCATCATTAATGCAATTGGTCGTCCCATACTGGCCCGCTTAGTTTTTCCTCTATTCCTACACGATCTTTATCATCCTGCGTCTTTGACAGTTTTGACAACCTGACCCAGAAGCACAAGCTGATCACAAACTGCCGAACCACTCCCCTCATCACTAAAATAAATACAACATCATGGGTGTTCTCCTCACCCAGCCCACCGAAGAGTCTGACAATGGTAGACCTATTAGCGCTCCAATGTCAGAGTCGCATTTCGGCAGCATACCGTTCATAGACCCTGTCCGCCGCGCGATCGTTGAGAGGAAGCTGACAAGAAAGTTGGACGCACGATGCAGTCTCTTCGTCTTGATCTACATCACCAACTACCTAGATAGGAACAGTATACCAGCATCACGCCTTAAAGGCCTTCAGGATGATCTTGGATTAAATGACACCCAATATGCGACTTGTCTAGGTATTCTGTATCTTGGATATATCCTAATGCAGGTCCCATCCAATATAGTGATCAACCGCATACAGCGGCCGTCATGGTACATTGCCTGTGTAGTGCTGGTTCGGGGACCTATATCAACACTGTCTGGAAGCACGTACAACTTTGCCGGCATGTTCGCTGTGCGATTCTTCCTCGGGATCGTTGAGGCAGCCTTCCTCCCCGGTGTCCTCTTGATCCTATCCAAGTGGTATACACGCCGCGAGCTCACCACGAGGACTGCGATCCTCTTCTCCGGCAACTTGATCTCCAATGCCTTCTCAGCACTTATAGCCGCTGGTATCTTTTCCAATATGCAAGGTACACTGGGTCATTCTGCCTGGCGCTGGCTTTTCTGGATTATAGGCGCTGTTTCTATAGCTGTTGCTATAGTAGCAGTATTTATCCTGCCTGATCTACCACATAACTCAAGGGGGTTCACCGAGGAGGAGCGACAGGTTGCACAACTGCGTATTCTTGAGGATGTTGGAGAGGCTGATAGGGACTTAAAAGAGGAGGGCATCTTCCACGGTTTCAACTTAGCCATCAAGGATGTCAAGATCTACATCATGATGGTTACTTTTACAGCCTACGTTATTGGCCTTTCCTTCAATGCCTTCTTTCCCACTCTGACTGCGACATTGGGCTTTGGGTATGTTCCTACTCTTTTGCTGAGTTCGGCACCATGGGTGTTCTCCTGCGTTGTATCAATCATCAATGCCTGGCATGCTGATAGAACTCAAGAAAAGGTATGTACCAATGCGTTGACGTGCAGGATGGATGGAAGTATTAACAGCAGTAGTTCTGGCACATTTCCGGCCCGATTCTCGTCGGTATGGCCGGTTTCATCATTTGCATGTCGACCCTCAATGTAGCCGCGCGATACATTGCCCTCTTCCTACAGACGAGCTCTTATGCCGGCTTCATCGTCTTCTTCTCTTGGATCTCCTCATCTTTTCCCCGTCCGCCGGCCAAGCGCGCTGTAGCTATCGCGATCATTAACGCCTTTAGCCAGTTGGGTAATATTGCAGGCTCTTATGTGTGGCAGCTCGAGGAGAACGGATTCCGCAAAAGCTATGGGATAGTGCTCTCCATGTTTGGCACCACAGTTATTGGATGTTGGGTCTTCCGTATGATACTCGTCAACTTGAACAAGAAGCTCGAGGCTCGCGAGTCAGCTTGGGAGGTGAGGCAGAGTACCGGGGCAGATAAAATTGAGGTCGGGGCTTTGGATAATACGGATGAGGCGCCAAGGATGAAAGGCAACTTTCGTTACTTGATCTGAACTATCATTGAAATGTATGAGAAGCGAAAAAGCAGTGATCCGGAAGGAACATAGGGTGATTGCGAGTGGCGCTGAAAATGCCAGAACCCACTTTGTTTTGGCAACGATCTCCTGTAAAGAAAGAAAAACACTACTAGTTACCGAAGTTATATACCTACTCATAGACGACAAAAGGAGATGGTCAAATACATGCATAGCTGGCCAAAGTTTTCACCATTATGTGTTTAGGTCTTAACCCTGAAACCTCGAAGAGTATTCGATACGAAGATCCATTGCTGAAAAAAAAAAACAGGCTCATTATTAGTCTCATAGACGCTCTAGAGGACCCCCGACCTGTAATTCAAACCCTTGGACGGCCGCAGAAGCAATAGGTAAAGGGGCACTGATACTGCTAGCTTTTGCAACTGCCTTTGCCTAAGACTGTGAACAGAACTTAAACAGGTTTTTCATTACTCACTAGTTTAATGACGATTTGTTTGGCCTCTCCAATTCCTCGCAGATACTGGAGCTCTTGTTTCATCTTGAGCCCAAAACGCTCGAATTGAATGTTCCAGCCAGCAGCTCCAGAAACAATGCCAAACATCTGATTTGATCCGTGTTTAGGCCGACGGCTTACGTGAATCCCCGAAACTAGTCAGTGGCGGCCAGGTGTACTCCGATATCCTAGAGGCTCAGCATGGACTTTTCAGTATTCCCGGCCTTTGTCTATTGTTAGATGGCATCTGGGGGGTACCTGGGAAGGAAGTCTCCAAAGAGCAGCATCATCTATTCCTGCCTAACCGTGATGGATGGTAGGTTGGTAGACTTGCTCAATCGTGGCAAGGGGAACGGGGAACGATACATCACCAGCCGTTCTCGCGATGATAGCCAAATCTTTCTGGCTGTTAGCCATGGCGGAATAAACGGTCTCAACGCCCTCGAGCGCATGGGGAATTCGATTTTGCCAGGATCCAGCTCGCACTTTTGCCAGACTTGAGGTGGTCATAGACTTGCTGAGTATTCAATCCCGCCCTTGTGGCCACAGCAATGACCTCGGCGACAAGAGCAATAGAAATCTCCGGAGTGACTTGATGGCACACCGTATCATTTGTCCCGGATCTGATCTCGCCATATGATGAGTCGCTCTTTTGAACTCTGCAACTCTTTGAACCAATGGTTCAGAGTATGAGATCAATAAGCGCCATCCCCTCGTCAGTGCCACAGACAAAGACCGTGAGCGTGCCGCCCGATACTGAGCAGTTGAGCAAGAGAATATCTCGACGACCGAATTCTTCATCCAGCCGTTCCCTAGCCCCTTGGCAGTATGTGCCAGCGGACACTAGCGCCTGTAGCGCATTGCGCTCCCCGAAGCCGTATACAACCAAGCCAGACTCGCGGATCCTTGAGGGAAGCCTGGTACAGTCGCTATTGCTGCTCACCATTCAACCGATTGGTGTATAGGAGATCCATGGCGTTACTAAATCTAGCCGCGTTGGTTGAGTTCTTGCCCTGCGTGTGGCCAAACTGCAACATCGGTGTGATCGAGTTAGAGAGGAGCTACTCCTTCCAGCCGTTCATGTTGCTACTGGCCGAGTTGCTGTGAGCCCGCCTCGCGTGGGCCGCGCTAAGCTTGGCGATTTTCCACCAGCAAGGCGCTGGCCATTCTGGGCTGCGCATTGTCCGCGTCGATCAGGACGGCCAGCTTTGTTATCTTTTCACTTCTTATAGCAAGGGGATCACGGAATGTCTCATTTTTCAGCGTGATTGTGATGCTGGAGAGCCGCAGTCTCCTTCACCTAGGAGGTCAAGGTGTAAACAAACATCAACACGTATTCACCTATCACGTAATTTGGCTGAAGGCTTAGTAAGGTAATTAAATATGCAAGTGGATGACATAAGAAACGGCACGCCTCAACTTTCCAAGCTGATTAATCTCAATCAAGAACAAACAATATAAGCTACAATAGATGTGTGTGATTGCCTAAGTTATTATGGTGTTGAAGGTTCAGGTATGGACCATAATTGTGTTTAAAAAAAAAAATAGGCGACGAAGTCACGTGTGTGGCCTGATCTTGGGACACGCCCCGCCTCAGTGAGTAGTAGCCTCCTTTTCTGCAACTACCCTACATCGATACTATTTATTCATTTTACATCCGAAGATATCAAGACAAAGACTATTTTATACCATTCTTCCTTCTTAATATTGGTTTAATCACTTTTCTTATAATAAGCATATATATATAGGTGTATATTCAAATTGCCTGGTATATGAAGCACCACGTATTGCTGCTTTGTTGCCAATTTAATGATTTACAAGGATTACAGACACACGTGCTTCCCACGTCCTTGAGTAGACTTAGTTGTAATTGTCACCATTCGTTTTTAGACTACCTGGGCAACTATCTTGTGCGACTGGTTTCTTGCGACTTAAATAAGAGAGATAGGCTTCAAACCCAACTCATACGACATGATCCATAAATGGTTTGGTCAATTAGTGGTATTTAATTTTGTAATTATTGTTGTGATCATTATCACCTGTATTTACTAGGCCCCTCTTGTAGCGAGGTTGACTTCTGAAGATGTAGTCGATATGCCTCCTGTTCGTTTAATCGTTGCATAGTTGGCCTCGGTAGCTGGTACCGAGCTGCTCCCTATACTATCATGATCATCATCCCTCCTCTCGACGCAGTGCACCGAGATCTCCGTACTTCGCATAATCGCATTCTCGACGCTAGGCCGCGTGTCCGACTTGTCCTGCTCAGCACCTCTACTCCTCCCACCATGGACAGTGGCCCGGTACTCGGCGTCATCTCCGCGGAATGCGCTCATATTGATATTAGACGCTGCAGCGCGACTGGCTGCTCCCTGGCTATGTGAGCGTGAGCGGTCGTTGCCAATGGTCAGGTTGACGAGGTCGTTTAAAATGTTGAACTCGAGCTTGAGCTTGATGCTGTAGACGAGTGGCTTGTACGCCGTCTGGAAGTCGTAGTAGTCGGTATATTCGAGGGCCAGGATGGGGATGTTGAGGAGGATAATCATGACGTTGACGAGCAGCAGGTGCTTGCGCATCTTCTGCACGCCGCTGCGGTGCCATATACTGTCGGTGCCAAAGAAGGAGGAGCAGCTCTTGATGTAAATGGCCGAGATGATGAGTTCCTGGAGGAAGAAGACGGTGACCTGTATCTTCTCGTAGATCATGTATGGACGCACCCAAGGATTCGAGTCGGAGCTGTTGGAACCGTACATGAAGACGATGATGGGGATGTGCAGGACGACGGCGTTGATGATGATCATGGCGAGGACGAGGCGCAGGTAGAACTTGTGCCAGAAGATGAGGTGGAGTCGCGAGTAGAGAACGAGGGACTGGCCCGTCACCATCGCAACCCACCCGATGGCTACCAGGGTGATGTAGAGAATGTAGTTTTTCGACGAGGCGAGGTTCTTGAGCAGGAACCCGACGGTGTGGGGGGCGATGCCATTGGTGGCGGCGAGGAAGCTCCAAAAGTAGAGGCTGTGGCGTTTCCTAAAGGTGGTAGCGATGAGGATGTTGAGCTCGAGGACGTTGTAGAGCGATATGCCCATGCACATGGCGATGAGGATGGTGATGGTGTAGTTGTTCCCCGACGACGAGTCGCCGCCTGTCCCAGCGTAGCCCATGTCGTCCTCCAATCGATGGCGTATCAACGTCGGAGACTGTACGTTGCAAGGCTCTTAAGAGCATTCTCTGACCTGTCCCCTTGAGTGTCGACGAGATCAAGGGAGGGATTGTTGGCCTTTGCGCCCTCTCTCAAAGCTCTCGGGACTGGAGAGAGAGAAAGAACGAACTCATGATCCGTGCTCGGGATGAAAGCGGACCAAGGAAAAATGATTTTGGGATGAAGAAGAGATCGAATGGCCATTGGGACGTAGATCACTGGGGACCCCTTAGTAGAAATCGGCGGGGAATGATCCATAAGTACAGTGTATCTGCACGGTATCAATTACGTTCATCGTGCTTGAAACGGGGAAGCGTAATTGCGGCAAGGTGAAGGGTGGCCCTCCAGTGCTGGGGGGGATGGGGAGGATGTGTGCCTCTCAGCTTTCGGTAAAAACACCCGAGGGTACAGCTGGCTGAAGAGAATACAAGAACGACTTGAAATGGCCATTTTTCATTATTCATCACGATCGGCATAAGACTTGCCCTACAAGACAAAGGCAACGTGGTATGTGTTAGCAGACGTAGAGCCTCGCTCAACAACGTGTTGGATCTGAGACCCGTCGCTCCTGGGTCAAGCATGAACCTGGCTTGCTTACGCGACTTGGCCCAGCGTGGTTTAGACCAGGCCAATTTTGCCATCGACGCCCTCGACGCCCTGTATGTGCACAGTGTGTATCCCGCTTGTTAGCGAGTAATCGCCGATTCGTGGCGTGGTTGGTAGCGATGAGGGCCAGACCAGACCCAGTCATCCAGACCGTTGGAAAATTTGCTCGTGGCCGGCGAGTCAGTGCGTGTACCAATGCGTCCACGTCGTTCATGCCACAACCGCTTACCCGAGTTGCAGCGGTTGGAGGATGCAACTAGCCCCTGCGCTAGTTCACAGCTGAACTCGTTAGCGTATAATCCCCCGCACCGGGTAAACGAGGTAATTTCGCCATGGGAGATTGGTCTTTCTCTGCTCCGGATCCGTACCTATTTCTTGAGTCAATGACTTTGAGTCGGAAAGTTTGAACAGTGGATGTGAACCGTGGCGTTGGGTACAGTGTTGCAGTAGCATTAAGCTGGTCGCCTTTCCTAATCAAGGCATAAACCGACACTTTGGGTTCAGGGTGGAGACGGACCACCAGCTTGACCGTTGAACGCCACGATATCGCCTATGTATGCAAGCCATACAAGCCATGATATGACCCTTTTTTCCAGACCGCGGCACCAAATGCTACCCCGGGCTGACGGTTGTCTGTGCACTGCATCCATGTTGGTGGCCTCGTGGCTTGCTCTTGATTGCTTCAGCAGCAACCATCACGCGCTAGCCAGGTCAGGTGCT